ATTCATCAAGTTGAAATTAATGCCTTGCTGAAGCACAAATATTTATCCAGTACAAACAGCAGGAAACCTTAGGAGACAGCACAGCTTTAAGCACTGAAGTGAGTTAATTAGTACCCAGTGTGGCTTCAGAGCATGCTATGGTATTTTTAAATAAAGGTTAGCTTCCGGATAGAAGAAAGCAACAAAATGTAAAGGTAAGAGATAAGGTATCCTAAGAAAGCTGTCTTTAACAGCTATCAAAGTGCCCTCAACATACAGCTTTTGTCACAAAGTTTAGAAGAGAGCTCTTATGCCAATCAGGATGGAATACAGCAATACTTAGCAACTTCTGCATCAGCAATAGGCAGGTTTTACTAGTATTGCTTTTACCTAAATTTCTTTGCTATGCTTTGATAGCTACACAGGATTTCATTTCCTCAGAAGTCAGAGGTGGAAGAACACAAACATATATCTGTTTTGAAAAGATAAGCCATTTCCAGATCTTCCTCTCAATCAGTTGATTCTTCAGCAATGCTCATCATTTCAAATAAAACTAAGAACAACTTTCATGCACTCCCTCGCTTTTCATGGCATTCTCCACAGACAAGAGCGATGATAGTTAAATATCTGTCCAAACTCCACATGCTTTATTTATTCCAGTTCTAATAAATAATGCTCCTAGTAACAATTTTTTATTGAACCCCCCAGTATTACATTTGTACACCATTTAGAAGTCACACTGAAGCCTTCTAAACAGAACACTTAATTCACCACACTACTTCACCAACATCCTCCCATTTCTGGCACCACAAGAAAAAATAGGGTCGCATTCAGACAATTTCAGTACTCGTTTGGCTGTAAGTTATGTTATGCTGCTCTCACTATCTTTCCAGTTGTTACCAAAGCACGTAAGTTCATGCGGGGATGCGACTAAAGAAATTGCCATAAATAACAATCGCCCTCATAGACTCAGCCAACATTCTATTTTTAGTCTGCTCCTCTTGAACGTGGCCCTGATTAGGGCAAAGGCTTCACAACAGTTTCCCCAGAAGTACAAGTAAACACTTCATATTCAGAATTTAGAAACGCTATCAATTGAAAACCAGTACAGTTGTTAGATATTTCAGGTGTTGGTTTTGGTGTTTTGGGGGGGAAGGTAGGGGTGTTGTGTTTATATCCAATCCAGGATTATTCGAGTTTTCATGCTAGCAAAGTTCCAGCACAAGTTCTGAGAGAAATCTGATCATTTTCAGTAAAAACAAATGCAGCAGCATTTCACCCCTTGGCCTTGTGGAAAACTTTTTAAATTTCACCAGTGCTTTCAAATTAAATATTTCAAGTGTCAGTTATTTATAAAGAAAATCTCAAAGCCATGCAGAAGCACTTCATCTTAAAAATGCATGCATACACTTACATGTTATGGAGCATAGGGAAGAGTCTGGCCCTTGCAGGAACTAATAAAATCTTTTAATGGCATGCAGAGCTTGAGAAGCCCAGAAGATTTAAAGACAGCCTTGTAGCAATACGCAGTTGCTACACACTAAAAACACTTTTATACTTTGGTACTCCTTGTCTTAACAACACTGATCTGACACAGATTTCAGTCCTTATTCTGACACCTTTGGTTTTACCTTCCAAGATTATCTCAAGAACCATTTAAAATAAATTAATCCAATTTAAGTTCCTAAATAACTGATGTTAATAAAAAAATGCTCTAATTCCAACCCATTCTTCACTCCCAAATGTGCATTTAATACACCATCATTTCAATTCTGGCAGCTGAGGACAGCAAACTGCCAAAAGGGCTATTTTTCCTGGAACAGAAAACACAGATTTAAATAAAAGATCTCAAGGCTACAATTCTAATTTAAGTGATTTTTTTGTATATATATACTTGCATAATTAAACAGAACAGCATTAACAAATCAAAAGCTGTAATTTTGTTGAGCGGAAAACTATAAGATTCCAATAAACCAACAAACAAGTACTTCCTACCAAGTACAAATCAACATACTGAAAAACACTGCATACAAAATGCAGGTTTTAAGCACACTATATTTTCATAATCCCATGGAAGTTTCAGGGATTACACAGAGTCACTCCAGTCAAGCTACTTCACTTCAGAAGATAAGCACAGATTGACAGTTTTCAGTTTTTTCTACAGTGTAAGAGGTTTGGACCCTAGTTCTCCTAACTTCACAGAAGACGGAGTATACACACAGTCAAGGTCACACCGTCAGGCCTCTCATCTCCTACACAGCATGATCAGATCTCCTGTTCAGACTTCATACATCTTGCTCCTGGAAGACTGACTGCTTGGTAACTGGTAACACTGGAAGTAACATGCAGGTGCAGTGATTCACACGGGTAACCTCCGTTTCTGCTAACAAAACTACCCACACAAATCCTATGGTAGACTGAAGTATAAGCTTTGTTCCCAATCTTCCGCGAGAGAGGAAGCGTGCCAGGTGACACAGAGAGCGCATTTGTCAAAGGGAAGGGCTGGGAATGAAACCTGACCTGGTGATTCACCTAACGGATTTAAGTCTAAGCTCTTCCTGATAGAGGCTTTGTATGTTTGCTGAGTGCCCAGGTGATCTTTGTTAAGAGCCCAAATGCTACTGCATTTTAATATTCTCCTCATCAGAAACATTAAAGCCTCATGAAAGTTTCATCTAAAAGCCTCAAATACTCCACAAGTTCTAAGTCCCTAGGGAAAGCCTATGAATTGAGACTTTTCTCTAACAAATCATGCAGTTTTCTCAAACTATGCATTTTCCATACAACCTGAGAAAAAAAACAGTGTCATATTTGGCCGTGAAATGTATGCTTATTTTCTAATTAAAATAGCCAGACATGAGCCAACATTCAATAACTAATAATTTAAGTTTCCAGGTGGAAACAAGGTGATTCTCACACTGCATGCGTTAAACTCAGCGACAGGTTACGAGACAACCTAATATTTATCTTAAGGCAGGATTTAATGAAAATTAATTTCCTGGCATGAACATGAGAAAGGTTCAAGATATCTGGGTTTTACAAGAACACGTACTAAGAATGAGAGTTTAACTCACTGACTTGGCCCAGTTATAAAATATACATCAGCGAACAGGCTCTTCTCCTAGCTTAGACCCAGCCCCATTGTGCTAAGTAAAACACAGATGACATACAGCATTTGAAGTGCCCAGGCTTACAATATCTCACGCACATGCTTGTCTGTGATACAAGTCCTTGCAAAATTAGAATCCAAGTGATTTAACCATCCAGCTATGCCTGAGAATATGTCTACCATGGACTATTTCAAGTGAAAGCAAACCCACCCATTCAGGAGACTATAGACAAAGTTCAGTATGATTCTGTCCCTGAAAGCCTCGTTCCTCAGAAGAAGCTTTCTGATTATATTTAACATGTACCTTTAAAACAGCTCAACGCTGAAAGGAAGTGAATTGCTACAGTTAAAAAATCATCCTGAGTAGGACTGAACTTCCTCAAAATTGTCATCTCTGTGATAAAAGGTACGTTAGAGGTGCCTTGTCTCACAAAGAGATTATCACAGAAGAGAAGCAGCTGAGTTTTGCATTTCAAAAGTAGTATTTTCATATTGTTTTCTTACTCTGGAGGAAAACATACGTCCAAGAACATTGCCAGAAGGTTCTACAACTCAACTTCAAGTACACTTCTTTTACCAAAAGTATTTCACTGATGAAAATAAAATAGCTTGGAGGTTAATTTGACCACATTATATAATACTACTTACTTTTTGCAACATAAAATAACTTGTTGGAAGGTGGAGGGAGCAAAAGCAAAACATGGGTGGGAGGGGAGAACTATATGATCTTTAAGGTCCCTTCCAGTCCAAATCTTTCTATGATTTTGTGGAAAGCCCAAACTTCTGAAGACACTGTGTAGCACATAAGTACATTACTGGAGGGAAAAACTTTAGCAAAGGCTTTCAGATGCCATGACAGTCATCAGTGTCACTCTACACTTCGCACCATAAAACTGCTTTTTGCTTCTTTGCAGTGTCACTCACTCCAGCTGCCTTCCAAAAAAAGTCACCAAACCTGAATTTGCAGCTAACAAACCCAACAGCCAACAAACCAACATCACTTAATAGAAACTTCCATATTTTGTTCTTCTACAGTCACCTTCTCACTCACTGGCAGCACATGTTAAAAATTCCGAAAGATAATTAGCAAGACTTCATAACCGTGGAGAACATACATCTCTTCCCTGTGAGCTTAAGACTCAGGAGCTTTTTCGGCACAGAGCTGGAATTCAACTGGACGGGCAACAAACGTGATGGTTGTCGGGATGACAGGGAACGAGCCAAATCCACGGGCTCTACCTCTGCTTTCACCGTTACCTTTACAACACAAAGCGCACAGAAGGTTACTTCGATTTAACATGCTCGAAGTTAAATCACGCAGCCCACGCAGGCACAAGCCCTGCAGCCTGCGGCGCTTCCTATCCGGGCACGGCGAACTCTCAGCGATTGTAACTGTTGCTGCCACCTCTCGCATCCCCACCGCCGGCACCGAACTCGACGCGGCGCCGAAAAAGCCAAACACACAGACAAGACGGGTTAGAGCGAAGATCTTTCACAGCACGCCACCGAACTCTGCCCTAACCCTTCCCACGGAGGTTCACGCGCGCGCCGGGAAAGCGCCAGGCACGGCGCTGCCCGCCCTGCTCCGGGGACACAGCGGGAGCAGCTCCTTTGTCTCGCCCGCAGCCCCGGCCGCCTTCTCCAGGCGGCACAAGGCGCCGCTGCCCCGCCGGTCCCGAGTGGCCCCGGCGCTGCCGCCGCTTCCCAGAGCTGCCCTACCCGAGCGGGACCGGCCGCTGGCGGGGCGCGGGTGGCCACCGCGGCCGGGATGCCGGGGGCGCCCCGGGGGAACCCACGGGAAGGGGGAAGGCTGCAGCCGGTGTCCGGAGCGCCGCCCTGCGGCCCCGCACCGGGGGCAAGGACCCCGCCCTGCCCCTCCATCGCTCCTGGGCACCGGCCCTGCCCCCGGCAACTCCACCGCCCCCTTCCTCCCTTCCATTCTCTCTCCCTTCTCCACCCGCCCCCCCCCCACCCCGTTCCCTTCGCCCACCGCCGCCCCGGTGGGTCCCGGCCGCCCCAGGCGCGCGCCGCCGGCTGCCCCAGGGCGAGGCGCGGGACCCGGAGCCAGAGGGGCTTTGCTGAGCCGGCCGCGAGTTGCCCGACAGCCGCAGCCATCCCGCCGAGATGCGACAGCCCCGGGCGGCAAAAAAGTTGTGCCCGCGGGAGCAGCGGCGAGCCAGACTCACCCTCCCACCCGGCGGCTCCGCCGCGGCTGCGACTCAAACTCCCCTCCCGCCGGGAGCGCAGCGCGGGCGGCCCCGCCCGACCCCGGCGCTGCCTGGCGGCCCCCGCAGCCAACCGGAGCGCGCGGCGCTGTCACGCCAGCCAATAGCAGGGCGGAGCGGGCCGGGCGGGCGCCCCGCTCCGCCAATGGGCGGTGAGGGCGCCGGGCAGGGGGGAGCGCGGGGCGGGGGGTGGGCGCCGCGGCCGCCGCGCTGTGGGGGCGCCCCGGGGGGCGGGCACGGAAATGGGGAGAGGAGTCATCGCCTCCTCACTGGGGCTGCCTCGGGAACGTGGCGCTGGGGGGAGCTGAGGCGTAGCCCGGGGCGCTGGGCAGGGTCGTGCCCCGCGGGGAGATGCGCCCTCCGGGGCAGCGGGGAGCGCCCGCTCCCGAAACCGCCCCTCGAGCGCCGGTGGCAGCGGCCGCTCGGGACAACACAGGGGCGGCAGCGCTTGGGATGGGCTGCAGGGAGCCGGCACTAGAGGCGTGAGCTCTACTGTTCTCCCCTGTCACTCACACAGTCCCGCTGCCATCGCTTAGACATAAAAAAAGAGCTGGCGGCAGAGGGACGGCCGAAGTTCCACAAGGGATGTCTCGATGGGAATGCCTCGAACTGAACGCCTCTGAAGTTTCATCATGCATGTCTTAATCATTATTTAGATACTGGATTCTTACCAGCCTTCCCAAAGTGAAGCGATTGTGAGCAAGTCTCATTCCACAGCACTCCAAGGCCTTTTCAATTACTTTCTTTTTTTTCCATTTTTTTATCTATTGACTTCATCCTTGGACTGCTTGAAGAATGAAATAAATCTGCATACAGCACAATTAGCTGCTTTTGGTTATTAAAGTTCAGTTTACATTTTTTTGTTACCAATAGAGTTGCTTTGCAAGCATGCTTTAAGGATGTAAATTTTAATCCTCAGAAGCACATGCTTATAGTAATCTTCGGGATTAAAAAAGATTAATCACTAATCTAATTGCTCTATGGTGAAATCAAAGTGAGGAGGGTATGATTTGGTCAGTATCAAATATGATGATGATATAGTCCAAATTAACAACACCAACATTTACTGTCACAAAGTGCTTCCCATACAGTTACTCATTTAAAAGCCATTGTCTTCTATGCTGTGCCAGTCTTCATTTCCTCAGTGACTCTACAGGTAGATAACCTGTTCATGTACAAGTTTATTGACTTCCCTGGAGCCTTGAACGCGAGAAAATACCAGGTTCAATGCAATTCTTCAAGTTTTCTTGACATCAGTGTCTTTCTGTCTGGGCTGTTTCTAGACTTGCGCAATTTTACTATTCACTTCCATAGGTATATAGTATATCAATTTATTCACAATAAAATATATGTGCTATTTTCAAGGATCTTTTATAATACAAACTATAATAAAATTTGCTTTTAGAATATAAATGTCTTACTAAGCCATTTGTCTTTAGAATACTCCCACTGTGTTATGGTCTAAATTCATTCTGTCATCAGTTTCTATGACACTGGATAAAATAGGTCTGTTTTCCTGAAAAGATAGATATTAGTTCCAACAAAGATGTAAAGAAGCTTTATTATTTCACTAAGATGAAGAGAGACAATTAAATGCCATAATCTTAGAAACAACCAAATGTAGCTTTTTGAGGGAGATAATAACCTTCTACCTTCAAAAGAACACACATCTGAATCAGAGCCAGAACACTTAACGGTTTGGGGCGTTTTTTAAGGTTCTTTATCTGACTTTCTCTGCCACTATTTCTGCCAACAACATTGCAGGCATACACAGCTTCCACCACAATGTCTTTCCCTCCCACTGCCTGTACCTGTTCCTGAGACCTTTCTGGTTTTTGTGACCCAACAGTTACACAAAACAGTCTGAAAAGAACCAAGTAGAAGAGAAGGGTTTTTTTAACACTCTTCTGTTCCCTGAGCTGGTTTACGGCTCACTTCTGCAGTTCTGAGAGCAACATAGACCAAAGAACAAGCAATAGAAGCGAAGACAGGCAATGCAGGAGGAGTTTATCAGCCTGCATTCTCAGACCAGTATCAGCAGGGAGATTTCAAACTGCCCTCTCAGAGGAAGGCTACAAAGAATCAGAACTTTTGTTCCACTTCCCCAGTAGTCAGGACTGCTCAGTGCTGTTTCACAAACAGGAAGAAGTTCCCTTTTTATTTCATAAAACATTGTTAAGAAACATAATTTGGAACATAGAGCTTCTGCCTTCTTCATAATTTTTGGTCTCCATCTTTTTGTTACAAGTTCTTATATTTAGATATATAATGGAGTTGTAAGCCTCTTTAAAAATAGAAATCCTTGATAAATAAATACTTAACAACCTTAATCTCTGTCATATGACCATGTTCTTAAAGCTCAATTCAACACACAGACCATTTTTAAAAGATAGTACATCTGGACCGTGGGAAAAAAATAGCAGTTATTTTCAGTCATCTGATCTCCTACCAAATCGGTATGTGAGACACCAAGAAGGGCACCATTTAGGGAAAGCGAGAGAACTCCAGAAGACAATCTGTTGGTCCTCTATCCAACTGCCAGCCGAGGCCAGGCCGGCTGTGACTGCAGCAATTGCACATGCTCTTAGATGGATGGTACAACCATCGTGGAGCAGCCCTTCTGTTTTCATTAGGATGGGAAAACACTCACAGCAGAATTAAGAATAGTCTGTAGTCTTGATTAGAAATTCAGCTAACATTTCCAAAGACACTCAGAATTCACACTGCTCTCCTACAGAGCCTTTGATTAACTCCACTAATTGGGACTATGAGGAAGCATCAAGTCGTCCTTCAAATCAGCAGAGGTCTAAGAGCTTTGTATCAAATGCAGAGGACTCTGGAGACTCCTGGTCTGACATTCTCCATGAAAACAGTTTCAGTAACAAAAGCATATAAAAAGTCAGGAAGAAAAAAGTAAGACAGTTGTGCTGACCTAGGAAGAAAAACAGATATTCTGAAATTTCCTTTGCAGTAGAAATAAAGTGACAGCACTTTCTGCAAAAACACAAATTCTGCAATTTTTATTTTTGGACCTCTGAAACAACTGACAAATATGGTATTTTGACAATGTCAGATATTCTGTTTTGAGTTATGGTTTTCTTTTTTATATTCTAGTTTCAATCATAAATAAAATATTTTGATAGCTTTCCCTTGAAAACATAAAAGAAACCGATATATTCCTACAAAAACTTACATTTTATTAAATCTATGTTTTGACAGAAAATTGCTCTAGCAGAAAGCTTTTTACCAGATCTGTCCAGAAAGTGAAAAATCACTAACATCTGTTTGACTCTAAAACACTGAAGAACTCAGTGTCTCAGATTTCTCATGTTTTCACAAAACATTTTAAAGGAAACTGCTCAAGAAGGAAGGACTCTAAGCATTTTGTTGCTCAACTGGTTGAATAAAGTCCTCTTACTAGAACTTCAGATTAAAAAAAAAAAGAATACATTAGCATAGAAATATAAAAAGTATCCTTCGCTTAATAATTTATGACAAGTTTTATTTATTCTAAATAAATATAGCTTTTATCTTATGCTTTTTACTGACCTGGAGTTCTCCTGGCAACCTGGAGCTCCCCTTACTTCGTTTTTCTTGGCAAAGCTTATACACAAGCCTAACGCCACTATGCCTTTGATTTGCTAATATTGCGAAGAAATATTTATTGCAAAAACATTACAGTAGAATTAAAAACAAAATAGTTAATTTATTCAGCCATGCAAAGGCTTCCCAAAAGTTTAAATTTACATAACTCAAATTTAAAACTGAGTCTGACTTGTTGTTGATGGCCAGTTTTATAAACAATACAGTCCATATCAATATTTTGCACGAAGGGATGATGCTCACACCACTTGAAAATACAAGGTAATAGCTTCTGATTTTGATTAAATTTTGAAGAGAAGCTACTATAAGAATTTGATTACAGAAAAAGCTTTGTCTAACTGTACTACTAATATAAGGCAAAATTTAAAAAAAAAACATAGCAAGCAAATAATCATAAACATAAATAATATATAAGTTATCCTTACTACATAAGAGCTAGGAAATCCATTACTTTTTGTTTATCATACTTTAAAAGCAGAGGTTAAAAGCACATACATAGGTTTGTAAGCACAGCAGTTCACAAGATTAATTGTTTGAGTGGGAAGACACAAGCATTGCATCAAAACCTGCATAGTCCAGAATCCTAGAAATGATCCCTCAAGGTAAGGGAGGGGAAGAGAAGAACAATGTGGAGATCACTGTTATGAGATCTACAACCAAATACACAG